TCCACTGGACGCCGTTAACGTGCCCACCCTCAAGGCCCTATATGTATGTGTTATGAGAGTGTGAGTAATGTGGATGTCTAAGTTGTGGAATAAAATTGAGGCACAGGTGGCCAGAAGGGGACTTTATCCTTGGTTCTTTGAAGCGTTTTTAAGCTGATACGCGGGGGTTTATCTTTCCAAAGGAAAAGTTTTAAAACGAGATAGAAAAAAAATTGTGAAAAAGAAACAATAGAATGAATATATAATAATATATTTTTGCGCATTAGCTTAGCTTATCATTAGCCTATATCACTAGAATTTTCACTTTCCCCTCAACATTCATACTAAATGCACAGTGAAAGTCAATACACTGACACCTATGTTCAGAGTGAATCCCCTGACTGGCTGGGTGGTATTTCCAGCCTCCCTCTCCAGTTCACAGCAAAATGTGTCAGTCTGCTGCCTCTGTGTCCAGAATAGATCTGTGCCAAATCATAGACCCCTCCTTAACAGCAGCACTGCAGTCACAGCAGATCCCATGCAACATGTCTCTGCTTCCTCAGCTGCTCTTTCCAAGCTTCTCTGTCATTTTCCTCAACTTGGCTTGTTTCTGCTGAAGTCTGTGGGATAAATGAAAGATTGATTACCAGCTACAAGAGTCAAATGCCTGAACAGGAATGGATGAACATGGTGAAATGTGGGCTGGGGAGGTATGACAAACGCTTTCTGCAACTGTGCAGCTCCTGTTCTTTCAATTACTACCATTACTGCAAGCTAACATCCAGCTGTGACTGCTGCAGCCAAACAACAGGTAATAACCTGCAGTTATTAGGATGTATACAATTAAGCATGTTTAGATATTTAAGTTGGCATATAATTGCATATTTATTCTGGGCATTTCTTTCCTCTGTTCATGTTAACTGTCACTTTTTATTTATTTATTAATTATCTTTGTAATCATATGAAGGCTACAAATAACCAAAAAATGCTGTTCCAGAAACATCCTGTCATATTCAATTTTCCCACAGAATAAATGTACATATTTTCATCACTTGCTCCACAATCCAAAAACCAACTACGGCCTCGTGCCTTCAGAAAGCCCTGACATGTTATGTTTCTTCCATCTGTCAACAGGGATATTTGGCCAGCGTCTAGAGGACACAGTGCAGTACGAGAAGAAGTTTGGCCCCCGCCTTGCACCCCTGCTGGTTGAGCAGTGTGTGGACTTTATCAGAGAGAGGGGTCTGGATGAGGAAGGTCTCTTTCGAATGCCAGGACAGGCCAACCTGGTCAGGGAGCTGCAGGAGGCCTTCGACTGTGGGGACAAGCCCCTGTTTGACAGGTGGGTGAGAGGATGAAATGGGAAAATTCACTTTGCCAAAGACTTTTATGATCATCACTGATTTGAATTCTACTGAATCATCTTTCTTTCTGACTTGCAGTAACACAGACGTCCACACAGTGGCATCCTTGCTGAAGTTGTACCTGCGAGAGCTGCCTGAACCAGTTATCCCCTTCTCCAAATATGAAGACTTTCTAACCTGTGCGCAGCTTTTGGCCAAAGATGAGGAGGAGGTATGTGCTGTTTACCTTTGGTGTGAGGACTTTGAGTGGTACTGTGAGTAGAATAAGGATGATTTGTCTCATATCAGGGAGTCCAGGAGCTTGGAAAGCAAGTTAGCACTCTACCTCTACCGAACTACAACCTCCTCAAGTACATATGCAAGTGAGTGACTTCATCCGTTAGGTTGAGAACTTAGCTTTTGTAGCCTAATAAGTTTTTTACTCTAGTTTTTCACTATATCTCTCCTTAGATTCCTTGATGAGGTCCAGTCCCACTGTAATGAGAACAAGATGAGTGTCCAGAACCTTGCCACAGTATTTGGACCTAACATCCTTAGACCGAAGATGGAGGACCCAGTCACTATCATGGAAGGTACAGACAAAATAATGACAATCAATTAAGGTTCTGTTTTTCTGTAATTTATTTATTAAAAATGATAGCTTAGAATAAAACTAAAAAAAGTTATACCGACACCGGCTGAATGTGATTTGTATTGTCTAGGAACTTCTCTTGTCCAGCACCTGATGACAGTCCTCATCAGGGAACACAACCGTTTGTACTCAGGGAGGGAACAGGAGGGGCCAGCTCTACCCCAAACTGAGATCCCCATCCAAGGGCATCATCTCCAACACCGCAGCCTGGGAGCCTGGATCTCTGAAGAGGACCTTCAGAGTTGCCCCGTCTCCAACCCAGACCAAGATCTGCACAGCAGTGCCTCATCCCTGGACGCCAAGCTGTGCGCAGCCATCAGTCCCACTCAGACCCCTAACCCAAACCCTGGACCAAAACTTGGGTCTTCATCGGGAAAGGGTGAGACTGTAATCAGTCCGAGTAAACAAGCCAAGACCATGCCTTCCTGGAAATATTCCTTCAAAAGCTCTTCAGCGCCTCGTTCCCAGCCGCAAGCTAAGCAAACCAGCAGCAGTGGCTCTGCAGCAGATACAACCAGTCTGTCTTCTGGTGGTGGAGGAGGTGGAAGTGGTGGCAACTGGCTTATGAACGGTTTGTCCTCCTTGAGGGGACACCGGCGAACATCTTCAGGGGAACGGTCCACCCGTGACCGTGACTCCACCGGCTCGTCCCAGAGGCTGTCCACGTATGATAACGTGACCTCCTCCTCTAGCATGGGGAGCGTTCCAAGTGTATCCAGCACACCGTGGTCCACGTCCTCCTGTGAAATATCTGTCCCGGACTCAGCAAGCGAGCCCCCGGTGCACCAGAACTGTGGAGGTGTGGTGGAAGGTGGAGAAAGCCACAGAGAGATTAACAAGGAAAGGGATGGAGGGATGACAACAGACGCGAGCTCCGAGCAGGACAGTTGCGAGGCCATGGAGCTGTGCAGCAGCAGCGCAGCCTGCAGTGAAAATGGAAACATGGCCATGGCAGCCGGGGTGCCGTCCATTATCATGTCCGAAGATGGAGATGGGGAAAAACTAACACTGAGCAGCCTGGTAGAGGGACTGAAAGACGAGCTGAGAAAACAGAAGACTACATATGAGGCCAGGATCCAAAAGTAAGTCTCTGATGCAGGATCTTTCAAACTTATAATAGTAGTGTCAGTCTTTTATATGGTAAATAGAAAGACATTTGAATGAACTTTATGGTTTTGGATGTCAGGCTTTTATTTCATTAGCACAGAACCAATGGAAGTACTTCAATTACAACCTGCTGCGAGCCCTTTAAAGGGCACTTTCGTATTGCTGTTCTTTACAGTTGGGGGAACACGTCAGGAAGACAGTGAATAAAGACTGAATAAATAAATATGAAATACATCCTGAGATGGAAAAAGTTCCCAAAACAAAAGATTGTATATTTACCATAATTCCAATTACCATTTTTTATACTAAACCCAAATGGCATGGTTAAAGCACACCTATGCTCAGTTTGTAACACACCAATTTAAGTGTGTTAACACTTAAAATGTTGTTACCTGTAACACTGAAAATGAACTGGTATTTTCAAAAACCTTTCCCTTTTTGCAACTAAAACCTGTCATGGAAATAAATGGCATGTTTTTTAAGACATACACAGAGTGTCACGGCGGGGTGCGCCGGTGTGAAGAAGAGGTAGACCCAGATGCAGACACAGTGGAGACAGAACTAGGTTTCCAAAAATTAAGCGAGCCTTTATTGTGGCTGATGGCATGACAAAAACATTAGAGAACACTGAAACTGGGAAAACTAAGGAGACTAAGAACACTGTATAAACTAAAAAGACTATGACACTCTGTGAAAGAACTATGAAAAAACTATGAACACAGTAACTAGGCAGGCTATGAAACAGTGAGACAATAACGGAAACTATGAAAAGATGAGATGAGGATAACAGACGATCTGACACCGACTGAGCAGAAACACATGGATTAAGTACACATAAGGAATGATCAGGGGAAGCGGAATCACACGGGGAAAACAGCTGACAACAATTAACATAATGACAGGACAGGGGACGCGAAGCTAAATACAATAAACAAAAAACACAAGGATCCTTCAAAATAAAACGAGAAACACAGCGAGACCCAGACATGACTCGAACTTGACAAACAAAGAAAACTTGGACATGACACATGACAGATAAGCACACGAAGACTTAACACAAAAAACTTCACACAGGGATGAGACAAATGGGGAGCTTGATAAATCATGAATTAAAACTGTAACCTAGGCATGACAGAATGTAACTAGATAAACTGAAATGAAACTAGACTGAAAAGAATAACAAAACTCAGAATACTGGGTCACATGACCCAGGACCATGACACAGAGGTGCTTTAAACAACAAACAAAATGTTAAATCATTGGGCTGGAAGCAGCATATTTATATACCTGTGCCCATGCGTCATTATTAGCGTGTCCAAATTCATGGGCTGCATCCTCCTGAGGACCCGGCCTTCGCGGTCTACGTGGGCCGGGTCCTCAGAAGGTTGGGTAGGCCGGAAGTAAACGGCTGTGAAATTGGACAGTCTAGCCTTCTGATTAGCATTACCGCTGTCTCGGTGGAGTTTAATAAACTTGGCCGTCTTCTCCTTGCTATCTAAAATATAACAGGACACTGGCGTAAATCTCACACTTCTGTTTAATCAGTTTTCTGTTTGACGTCTATTCAGCTGTTTGAAAACCAAGGAGGAACCCACCCAGGGGATTAATAAAGTTTTATTTTATCGAATCTAATAACTTTACAACAAATAAAACACTAAAAAAAGCCAAACAATAACATTTTTAGGTTGTCTAAGGGACTTATTTATTACGTTTAACCTGAGTAGCGAAAGCCCGCGGTGATCTGAAAATGATGTGCCGGGAGTTGTGCCATTCTCGGCGGCTCTAGTGACCCTAGATAGCCAGCTCTTGGCTAGCTATCGAGCTGGTGGATAACAGACGTCTCCGAAAACATCGAAGCACTTTTGGAAATATGTGATATCTTGATAAACCGAGCAGATATTTGAAGTTTACACACCCACATTCTTGTCTGAAAATATGTTAAAAGTTTATTTTGTGACCCAGAAAGATTAATAAGAGTAATTTTAAAACTTAGTAGTGGCCGCCATTGCCGGAAACTGGAGTTTGGCTGGGCCGCGCTATGAATTCTGGGATATGGTGGGCCACGAAGGACACACCCGACCCATCCTTCAAATTTGGGGAAAAGGAGGACGCATTTGTCAGCTGCATTCGGAGGAGTCTACGAATTTGGACAGCCTTCGGCGCGTCGCTGTGACGTAATCGGTCTACAAATGCGTCCTCAGGAGGATGCAGCCCATGAATTTGGACACATTGTTTGGTCTATAATTTTAGTCTGTTGTTAGGTGGTTGCATGGCAACATGATGACATCATAATATATTATATATAATTTAAGCTGGATATAAAGGAAATTTTACCGTTGCAAAATTAAAGTTATACAACGCTCTTATAAGGCATTAGAGGTGCATAAATGCTGCAAATGGGTCATTATAGCCCTTGGTAGGTGTTGGCTAGGCAACGTGATGATGTTATTATCTGCTATAGATAAGAACTATAAGCTATACCTGTGTGCCAGTTTTGGTAGCTCAGCTCCAGAAAGTGTTGGAAATGTTTGCAGAAAACTGATAGAGATTATATTATGCAAGTAAGACATATATATATGTAGAGAGAGAGATAGCTAACAGCGGTTCTTGCAGGGCAGATTTGTTTTATTTCCTCCAATGCCAAGAATATCACATTAGTATTAATCTGGGCACACGGGTCAGACAAAATGTTGGGAAGGTAGGAAGTTGTTTGAAATGTGCTTTACTGGGTGGTTCAGCCAAACAGAAAAAAGGCAAATGTCCGTGACCTTTTCTGTGTGTATTGTGCTTCCACACAGATTGGAAGAGTCTAGTGCTGCTCTGTGTGCCCAGATGGAGCGTTTGGAACAGGAGATGGAGCAGGAGAGGAAGAAGCAGCGCATGCTGGAGATAAAACTCAGAAACTCTGAGCGGGCACGGGAGGATGCGGAGAATCGCAACCGCCTCTTGGAAAAGGAAATGGAGGATTTTTTTGCCACGCTGGGCGATCTGGCCCTTGGTGCAAGGACTAGTGACCTTTGATACACGGCCTCTCATCTGTCTTGGGGTGGTGGGGTGGTGGTGGGGGGGGGACGACATTTTGTGGTATGAGTCCTAACTCAAAATAAGACTGAAAATAGAAAATAAAGAAAACCTACTTGTGCACATGCGTAGAGATCAGATAGAAAATTCTGAAGGAAATAAACTTTGACTGTTTTCTTTCTGAGGATCATCTCTACTAAACAGCAAGTGGTCTTGATTTTGTTACGCATGCTTCAAACTCATTTTAAAAAGATGGCCCTCCTGTGATTACTGCAGAGGTTTGTCTTACAAATGGAGTTCAGGTGCCTGGATATGAATGGTGGAACATAATGTAACAATTTATGAAGTGGATAGCACTGACTTCTTTAACCACTACTTCAAAAGGACAATAACTGAATGGATTTTGTGTTAAAAGTGTGCAACTTAAGACAACGGACTGCTGTCTATCTGTATGGGATCTTAAAGCAATAGCTTCACATTTTGGGAAATACACTTATTTGCTGTCTTGCAGAGTTAGATGAGAAGTGTGAAACCAATCTCATGCCTGTATGTCAAAGAAGGTGCTAAAGCTAATAGCCATTG